TGTTGTTGTTTTTGGGGGAAAAAAGGATGCTTTTGTGCTTTGCAGAATTTTTCAGAAGAGTGGTTTAGGACCACCAAATGGAGACCGTTATGCACCGTTTGTGGAGGAGGAATGGAATCATGATGCCGATGCGGATGCCGCCCTATTTGTTCCGGAGGATGAAACTTGTGTAGAAAGAAATGAAATTGTAGAGGTATGTGTGTGTGTGTGTTTACGTAATTGCCCCTTGTTTCTGCAAAAGGTTATTTTTATTGCAACCTCTGAGATGTACTAACGACTTAGAATGCAAGAGACTAAAGTTTGAGAATTACTACAAACGAGAGAGAACTTGTATTATAAGAACTCGAAAGATTACAACGCAACTTAGCCCACACCACCCTGATGTAGGAACATTATGTGAGATGTAAATCAGGTATACAGTGTCCCACTAGGTAGTTGGTGAAGAGCCCAATCCAAATTGGAATCGAAACTCTCAAACTGTCTCGAATCCTTGATTTAGTATACGTTGCAAGTGATTTAGTATTTGTATTTGGTTAATTTTAAACTAAAAAACTTTACAAATGATTTAGTATTTTTGTAAAATACCAAAATGTTTATGAGTTGACTCAAGAAAACTAAATAGTTTTCAACTAAATGACACTTTTTGAAAGTACAATGACTTCATAACATTAGTCAAATACACGCCAAATGTAGTACAACATGTTTCGTCCTAAAAAATCACATCTTACTCAAACTAACTGCTTTATAACCTGTGGGTGTTGAGTCTTTTCTTTCCTTTAATCATAAAGTTCAAATCTTTTATGTTCTTGATTAATGAAACCAATCTATTTTTCAGAATAATCCCAAAACAATTCCCTTTGTATGCAAAAGGGAAAGATCACAAGACTCTCCTTCAAATTCAGAACCCAAACTCGAAACATTCTCCCTCTTTCACAACAAAAGATTAAAACCAAGTGATCCAAACTCCAACAATGCAAATGGTTCTGAAGATTCAACCACAACAAGTCAAGATCCAACAACAACAACAACAAAAGCACTTGTTGAGTTCCCTTTACTTAAAGAAACTCATCATCCCACCACCCCAAAGTCATTTGACGCTTCTACCCTTGAGAAATCCGTGCCCCCGGGGTACCTAAAGTTCATTAGCAATTTGGAAAATGAGATTCTCAATGTTTCAATGGAGAAGGAGACTTTGAAGATCGAAGTGATGCGGGCCCAAGCAATGATTAATATTCTTCAGTCTCGGATTGATGACTTGAGCAAGGAGAATACGAATTGAGGAGGGGCGTTTAGGTAAATGTACCTTGCGTTCTTCGGTGTAACCATGCTACTAGGAAAGGGCCATTTCTATGTGGTGTGGCTCTTTCCCGAGATCTATGATGTAGTTTTAGTTAAATAAAACTTTCGATCTTTTTTGTTTAGATGTTGTGGAAATGTTGGAGTTTGACTGGTGTAATTTTGTTGCTCTAATCATGCTTAAATTTCACTAATTACTTGATTTAAAAAGCTTAATTTGGTTTAGATTTTTTACCGAGTATTTGTTAAGCAATATGTATGTGTTTAATGTAGGAACCGAACTGTCAATGGACTTATGAAAAACCTATTTTTTTTAGCAAAAGTTTTTTCATGGCCTTTTCAATGTGAAAAAGCTTATTTTATTCAATTTAATAAAAAAATAGATCAAAGAGAAATTAATACATTTCATTGAGCAAAGGAAAAACAACTTTTAGAAACAATTCGAAAATGTAAGATATTTAATACCAATTGAGAAACTTACTAATTAGTTATAACAATTAGAAAATAACAAACTAAAAAAAAAACTAATAAGATTTTTAGAACTCATTAATTTATAGATAATTTTATAAAAGTAAAATTTAGTAAAAACTAAAAAACATTGTAGTTTAGTTTTTTTCCGGTTTAACCACAGCAAAGAATTTTTTCTATGTTAACCACTAAGAGTTTTCTTCTATTTTCAAAAAAACCACAGCATAAAACTTTGACTTGTATAAAAGACATGAGAATTTGAATATTGTTTGATTTGATCACTTTAAGAAATTTTTATTTTCGTAACAACAGCCAATAGTTCTAAACTTTTTTTAATAAAACCATCATTTGACCATTTACCGAAAAAAATAATTTTCCCATTTGTTATTTGCAACTCACTAATGGACAAAAAAAAAGTATTGTGGTTTTGTTGAAAAAAAAAAAACTATCGGTTAAACTAGAGAAAAAAAATGCAATGGTTAAATAAAAGAATTTCAAACCACACTGGTTTTATCGAATTTGGCCTTTTATAAATTAAAATCGATAAGTATTTAAAATGACAAAAAGATGTTTGTTCATTTGAAACGGCCCAGTAGATTATACAGCCCATTGGAGCCCCGACTCGTTATCCTTCCACTGTCATGAGCGAAGAGTTCTCGCAGCTCTGTGAAGCCAACCTAACGCAGTGCCTCTTGCTTTAAGAACCAAGTGAGCCAAGCCTTCGCCTAAGCCACATGGTCCAACTCACAACTTGGAATGGGCAAGCCGGTTTATGCGCCAACAAGACCAATCAAGCTGAGCCAATTCACAGTCCAAACATCTTTGATACCGTCACTTGAGTTATAGGCAAGCGCTTGGTGACTTTTAATTCACAACAACCTTTTATTAAGCGCCTTTAGATTAATCATTCTTCCGATGTGGGAATAAAAGCTATTACATGTGATAAGTTTTCAAAGAATATACTCTTAACACTTGTGCCCATTTCTGATCTTTTTCTGTGATTCCAGCTTTTTTTTTTATCGGAAACTAACTTGAAGAAGTAGCGATTCCAGTAATAGATTGCAGAATCAATCTTGTTTTGGGTTTTAAGTTTTTTTTTTCTTTCTAACTTTAGGTTTGGTTTTTAGGGATTTACTTGAATTGTTGATCAACATATACATATTTTAAGAAAAGTGGTGAGAAAGAGATGGGTAAATTTAGTCATTTCACTTTAGGACGAAGATTATAATTTGTTGATCTACATATACACATTTTAAGAAAGGGAAAATGTTACGAAATCCCATGAATTTTGTCTGTTCCTTTTAAAACAAATTCGTTATTATCCTCTTTTCTTTTTCTTGTTTCAAAAATGTCAGTTTAGTTTCCAAAACTAATTAAGGATTCCTAAAAACTGCAAGTATTATGTATATTATTGTTAGTTATCAACACAATTTGTTGAAATAATGAGATATGCTTTTGCTTGAAAAATGACCATAGAATCACCATTTTTAGGTTTTACTAGTGATTTCCAAAAAGCTTTTAAAACACATATTTGTTTGTGTTAGATCTTTAGCTGATCCACATGTGTAGTATGATAGAGACAGATTCGAGATGGCTAATTTCTTAAGAAACAATAAAAAGAAACAAACTCTTTGGAACAAATTTTCTGATTAACTTTCATAAAGATGCAACATATGAATTTATAGACAAAACCAAGATATACACATAAATTAAGGGATAAGATTATAAAATAGCAACATAATTTTATATGTTTTTCAATAGAAAACATCAAAGTTGTTTAATTCTTATATTTATATGACAAATACACTCAAGTTATGCATTTTTGTAATGTGTTACATGAAACTGCTAATACAGCATCATTGAGTTAACCTAGAAAATATCAAATCGTAGAGACAAACATAAGTGAAGAAAAAACAAAAATACTCCTCTCAAGTTGGGTTGTAGAGTGGGAAAACATATGAGAAGAAAAAACCCCTAAAAGATTTTTAGGCAATGTTATTAATACAGATTAAGAAAGGGGATTCCAATTTGATTCAAAAGTACTTGTGAGAGTTGTGAGTAGTGACAGATTGAAATATGGATTAGAAAACGAAGATTTCATTGAGAGATTATTATATGAATAAATAAAAAAACGAAATAATTTGTTATATATTTTACAACTGACCATGTTGGTTGTAGACATATTTGTTCTTTGGTCAAGAATTTACAAATGGGGATGTAGCTCAGATGGTAGAGCGCTCGCTTAGCATGCGAGAGGTACGGGGATCGATACCCCGCATCTCCAATTTTTTTCAAAATTTCTTGCAAATTTTTCATTAGTAACCCATGCGTTGTTGTTTTCCTCCAAAAAGAACCTCATAGTCAATTAAATTAGTCTTCATATCCTTATTTCGACATAACATTATTTCATCCGTGTTACAAATTTCTTATGATAATTTGATTACATGCTGCCTTGAATCGACAAATGAATTAATACCTTTATTTACATTCAACATTTTCTCTAAGTTATAATTGTCATCATGACACTTAGATAAACCGTGTTGTATTTCGTTCAATATAAATACTCTCTACAAAGTTATTTGAGATTTTACAAATTTATATAAATTATCATTATGTATTTTGATTCCAAAATTTACAAATACATTTTTAAATGTCAAAATTGTTTGGTTTTATTATTTTTAGTTTATTGAGTAAAATACGATGCGTAGTTGTTAATGAAACTGTATTTTAATGCAGCCTCTATCTCGAAACAACAGTCAGAAACTAGCAAATGACAAATAAAAAAAATTTACAGTTTTACCATTCTCTCTTAATCTTAACAGTTAACACCAATTAAGTGTATGCATCCATCGGATTAAGATCTAAAGTCACAATCACAGGGAAAAATCAAAAAAATCATTTGGATCATCTCCGATTAAGTTTTCCTATTTTATAATCTTATAGATTGAATTAACAACTGATCAAATTGAATAACTTTATCCCAGGCACTTTAATCAATAAATTGAAACAGCTGATAAACAACAATGAAACTCGATTTTTAATCAATAAATCCAAAGTCGCACAAATTAAATGCTAAACACGTACGATTACTTTTAAATTCAAGAAACAACGATTGTTATTAAATTCAAGAAACAAAGATTGTTACTGAATTCAGAACTTTTTTTATAAATTACAATGCCTTCTACTAACAACTGTTACATAACAAAATCCCCAAATTAGTTCACCACGAAAGAAACCTACGCGCTAGTAAATTTGGTGACGGCCTTAGTACCTTCAGAGACGGCATGTTTGGCCAATTCACCGGGAAGAACAAGTCTGACGGCTGTTTGGATTTCCCTTGAAGTAATTGTTGGCTTCTTGTTGTACCTAGCAAGGCGAGAGGATTCCTGAGCGAGCTTCTCAAAGATATCGTTGATGAAGGAGTTCATGATCCCCATAGCTTTGCTTGAGATCCCGATATCGGGATGAACTTGCTTCAGAACCTTGAAGATGTAGATCTTGTACGTCTCTACGGACTTCTTGTTCCTCTTCTTCTTCTTATCAGTCGCCGACGCATCCTTCGGGAGCTTCTTCTCCGCCTTCGGTTTGGGAGTTTTCTCCGCCGCTGGCTTCTTCTCGGCCGGTTTCTTCTCTGCCGCCTTGGGTGCCATTTTTAGTGAGTTTGGTAGAGTAGAGCTTCGAAGAGAGTGAATTAGAAATAACTGGAAACTGATGATTGAGATTTGGAGAGAAGGGGATTTCTTTATATAGGGTGTGAGATGATTTGATTCGTTGATTTTGAGTGGCGCGGATCGCAAATGTCGATCGTCAGATTGTGATGATGAATTAATAGACGGTGTAGATTGATTGAAGCGGTATAAATCTAATTAGAAGCCACGTGGAAAATCAAGTGACGTAATTAGGTGGCACTGTGTGTAGTGTGTAATCTTTTAATTAATTTAGCATTAAAAAAAGAAATGAAGCTCAAACCAAATTATAAATGTGAGTTTGAAATAGAAGACATCTGTCAAATCGATCAATTATAAAAAATGAACCATTTAAAAGTAGTAATATTAATGTCAACCACAATCAAATTGAACCATTTAAAAGTAGTAATATTAATGTCAAAAATAGTACTAGCAACCTAGATGTCAACATAACAATATAAAAATTTTAACAAGATTTAATTTTAGACTTTTATTCAAATCTTTCTGAAAAAATTTAAATCCTAGTTGTTTTTTCAATTTTTAATCAACATGCTTGCATTTCTAAATTCAACCTCATACTTCACACTTAAATGATGCAATGTGCTAAAACAATAAAAACATAAAATTAAAGATGAAAATTTGAAATAGACACCCCTGAAATAGTAGTGGTGATATCGAATTCTTGAAAGTGTGTGGATTGAAGGCACTGACGATGACCATCCATTCCCAATTATCCGTACAAATCAGAGAGGCTCAGCTGGAAGCCTTAAAACCAGGAAACATGTCAGATGAAGCCTTGAGAGGAATGGAAAAAAACTTAGAGGTCAAAGGAGACGGAGTTCACTATTTCATGAACCAGATCTGGACCCCAAAGTACGGCGGGTACATGGAGTTTGTCATGAACGAAGCTCACAAGACTAGATACTCCGTTCACCCAGGTTCAGATAAGATGTATCTGGATCTCAAGCAACTCTATTGGTGACCGAACATGAAAGCATAAATCGTTACCTTCGTGGGCAAGTGTCTAACTTGCGCCAAGGTGAAGGTGGAATAGATTTAAAAGAAAATCAAAATTAAATTTACGATCAATAATTTTGCACGATCTAAAATAAATCTAATGTTAATTTCGTGGCAAAACAAAAATGCTGATCATTTATGTATAAAGTTAACTTTAATGTTTGATATATATTAATAATGACTTAAAACTTATATATAGTATAACCATAAAAACTCGTAATATATACATAAGTTTGAACTTTTAATGGAGAGTGCACGTGTTTTATTTAACCGCCAAAAGCGAAACTTTCCTGGAAAACACCGAAAATTTCAAATCTATCATCAAATACCAACAAACCATCCTGACCGTTCAACGATTCATCTCTTAAATCAACGGCAGAAGATCACGATCCGCGTCATTCACAACCATCCAATCAGCACACCCTTCATCACCCTACATAAACAAACTCCCCATAAACCGCATCTCCACACTACGCTTTCGTTCAAACTCCTAACTTCCTCTCACACAGAAACACACAGTCAAAACCCACCAACAATGGCACCAAAGGCAGCAGCGGAGAAGAAGCCTGCAGTGGCGGCAGAGAAGAAGCCAAGAGCCGAGAAGAAGCTCCCCAAGGACGCATCCGCCGCCGGAGCAGACAAGAAGAAGAAGAGAAACAAGAAGTCGGTGGAGACGTACAAGATCTACATCTTCAAGGTTCTGAAACAGGTTCACCCCGATATCGGAATCTCGAGCAAGGCGATGGGGATCATGAACTCGTTCATTAATGACATTTTCGAGAAATTGGCTCAGGAAGCATCGAAACTCGCTAGGTATAACAAGAAGAATACTTTATCTTCCAGGGAAATCCAAACAGCTGTTAGACTTGTTCTTCCTGGAGAGTTGTCTAAACATGCTGTTTCTGAAGGTACCAAGGCTGTTACCAAGTTTACAAGCTCTTAGATTTAAGATTTTATCAGATGTTAGTTATTTTGTTTTGGTAGAATGGTTATAATGGTATAACCGATTTAGGATTTGTGATTGTTTTGGGAAAATTGATGTACATCAGTTTGTTTCAATTGCTAGAATCGTTGAAAAATCGTAATTTTCAGTTAATGGATTTCATGATTAGTTCTCTATTATCGATTGATTTTTATTTAGATGAATAACTCCGTATGGAATTTTTTCATGATATTCCTGCGTTTGGTTGTTGCGGATTGAATTGCTTTTATTGAACACATTTTTTGGATTCTTGATGAGCCCTTGATTGAAACCACAAATCGGCTATATCTATTACTCTCTAACCAAAATCGATCATGTTTTTGAATTATTATTTTAAAACCCATTAAATGAAATGGTATAAATGTTACAGTCTGATAGTAATCTACGATTTTTTGAATCTAAAATACAATACAGAAACGATAACATTTCTAATATTTTTGTATCATTTGTCCTTATTTATTTTAATGTTATTTCATAGCATATAATTCATTTTTTTTTTAACTATGTACAACTATAATAAAACTGCACTCTTTTATATACTTAAGTATATTTTTTCTGAAAAATGCATTAGGTTTCTATTGCAAACGCTATTTTTTTTCCTCTAAAAGTTTATTTGTTTATTTATAATTTTCTTTACGAAGACGTTTTAGAAGAAATTACATATGCAAGGAATTTGATATAATTTTGTAAACAACATATGTAAAGAATTAAATAGAATTTTAAGAAACTACACCTAATGCATTTTTCAGAAAAAATATACTTAAGTATATAAAAGAGTGCAGTTTTATTATAGTTGTACATAGTTAAAAAAAATGAATTATATGCTATGAAATAACATTAAAATAAATAAGGACAAATGATACAAAAACATTAGAAGGCATTATATCTCAGATGAATTTAAATGGGCTTATCGAGTAGGTCATGCCCACTATCATTTGAATGGGCCGAGTGTTTGTACATTATTAATTTAATGGGTTCGATAGTTTGGACACATCAAAGTGCAATAGGACACGAGATCTTAATGTTTCTGTTAAACATAGGGCAAATTATAAAATAAATAAAATGTGTATAAAATTTTGAGTTTGATATTATACTTTATTTTTTCTTAATTAAGTCATTAAGTTTGTGTTTTTATTATACTTTATTTTTTCTTATGGTCGTCCAAGTGACTAATCATTAGAAAATGTTGTAAGCAAGAGAAAAAGGTTGTCGAGTGTAACTCTAAAAGTATACCTTCATTGTTTTGCGTATACCATCTGGGATAAGGAACCACTTACGGCCCTGAGAAGTCATTTGCATAAACTCATGATTCTTTAAGAGAAGAAAAGAAGAAGAAATTAGGGAACATGAATACATATATATCTACGAAAATGTTCAATTTAACCAAAATGTTAAAGAATTATAGCCACATCAACTTTTTGCTTAGTCAACAAATGTAAAACATAAAACAACTGAAGTAAAGCCGTCGATTTGTTAAATTTTGGGTAATGACACGGCAACCGATCAAGCTTTTGGGTTTTGGTTTAAAAGGTCCATGATTTTTTTTTTGGCTTAATGGGGACATAAAATGTATGTTGACCTACTTTTCCAGTTACTCATGCCTAATGTAATCGGTTTCATAAGTCACATAAACATTTGTAGCTGTGGTTTTCTTGATAGTAAGGAAGTGGCAAAATTGTCTACGGTGGTTACCTAGGTGGAGTTCTAGGTTTTTCAAATATATTTTTGGCCGGTCTACATCATCACCATCATCACCACCGTTCAATACCAAAAACCTACATTGCTCAAATCGACAAATGGACCTTTAGTAACATATGGAGATTTCCTCTTAGAGTAAATTACACGAATGGTCCCTACGGTTTGGGGTAATTTGCACGTTTGGTCCCTAACTTATTTTTTTAACTCGGAAGGTCACTACTGTTTGTTATTGCTACACACTTGGTCCCTATTGTTTGTTTTTGTTACGCGTTTGGTCCCTATCTTACGTAAAAAGACAATTATTTAAATAGGGAAAAAGGGTAGGGTAGGTAAGGTAAGGTGATGGGGTGGGGTTGGGGGTGTGTTTATTTAAATAAATAAAAAAATCAAGGGAAAAATAGACTTTTTATGTAAGACAGAGACCAAGCGTGTAACAAAAACAAACAGTAGGGACCTTCCGAGTTAGAAAAATAAGTTAGGGGCCAAACGCGCAAGTTACCCTAAACCATAGGGACCATTCGTGTAATTTACATTTCTCAATAAAGTAATGTTAAATTTATTAAATTTGAGGATTGTCTATTATAGCTGGAAATGGGCGACGAACACTGGATCGATAGTTTGATACAAAAAGAAGAACACGAAGCAAAGATTGTAAAGAGAACGAGAAGCAATGATCAAAAGAGAAAGAGCCATGACATATACATATTGAAATCAAGTAATTTTTTACTAGTCTAATGTTATTTCAGACTCTCGGTTCTTGAAAATTGAAGATTTTAACGCAATTTTAACATTTAAGGAAAACGACACCAAAATCAGCTCAAACTGCTCTGATAGACATCCGATTCGACGAATTTCCATGGTGGTGGAACTGGTCAGAAAGCCAACTTCCAGCTGTTGAAACATCGATTAGGAATGGAAACCAGGGACGATTCCACTATGATGCCCATAGTGGCACCGGCAACCCCTTATTTTTTCAGATACAATGTAAAAATTTTCGAAATTTTCATTTTTTCTACATTTGTGCCACTACGTAAAAGGAAAAATGTGCCACCGGCAACACTTACTACGAAATCATGGATCCGTCCCTGATGGAAACTGTAGATTGAAACCTACACAAATGCTTTCTAGATAGATTTGGGAAACCATTGTGGGTGTACAAATGAAGCACCATAAAAGTACATGACATGTTCTCGAGATGAACACAACACATAGGGTAGAACGTGATATGTACCCACAAGTAAAACATTATGTGATGATGCAATATTTAACATTTCTTGGCGTTTAACTTTTATGTTTGACCTAATTTAACTTCCATAATTCATAAATAATCTAATAATGAACATTTAGAGAGTTTGTGAGTTTTTTGACCTTATGGGGTATTTTGGTCATTTTTAGTAAAATACTCTCTCTCTCTCTCTCTCTATATATATATATATATATATATATATATATATATATATATATATATATATATATATATATATATATGGCTAGGTTATTTTGTTTCTTACATTTATTGTGTGCTAGAATGCACCAATATGAATTTAGTAAATTAAATAATTATTTAATTAAATAAGTATAGATATTAAATGATTTCCATAATTATATATAATTTAAATGATATCCATAATTATAATTCTCTTTTTATGGAAACTAATTAAATCCGCCATTAATGTCAGCAATAACATTCTTTCAGAATGAATTCGCATCTAGGTTTTTATATATGAATTCGTATTTTGTTTCTGGACTCGCTCACTTAAAATAAAATAAAGTTGAATGAAATATGAAGAACGAGAGTGTATTCTACTAGAATACACTCTCATTCTGCTGGAATACACTCTCATTCTTCTAGATATGAATTCATTCTCAAAGAATATTATTCTTGACATTAATGACGAATTTAATTAGTTTCCATAAAAATGAGTTATAAGTATGGATAACATTTAATATACATATAATTAATACTAAATTTGTATTGGTGCATTCTAGCACACAATAGATGTGAGAAACATTTGAACCTACCTCTCTTTTTTTTTCTCTCTCTCTCTCTCTCTATATATATATATATATATATATATATATATATATATATATATATATATATATATTGTTTGAGGATTACTTTGACTAAGTAAAGAGTGATTCTTTAAATTAGAAGTTGAGGTGAGTCATATATATATATATATAGATATATATATATATATAGATATATATATATATATATATATATATATATATTATATATATATATATATATATATTGTTTGAGGATTACTTTGACTAAGTAAAGAGTGATTCTTTAAACTAGAAGTTGAGGTGAGTCAATGGAAACATACATACCCTACATTACATTGTATCTTTGTTACATCCCATACCTTACATTAATTTTTAGTTAATGGATTTCATGATTAGTTCTTTATTATAGATTGATATTGATTTAGATGAATAATTCGCATGATTTTTTTTCTTAATCATCAATGTAACATCATTTTTTGATTCTTGATATACTCAAACAAAACCAAAAATCGTCTATACCTTTTTTGTTTGAACGACAAACTGACATTAAAAGAAAACTAGCCAGAGGCTAGGAGGTACAAAGTTTGGAAGGAAACAAGATGAAAAACAAAACAAAACAGACAGAATAGAAAATTGACTACATTCTAGAGTAATATTCAAGAACAGATCACTACACCAATCCACCCTATTGCTATTCACCTCAAATCGATCAACACGATTTTTTTTAGTATCTCAAAACGCATTAATTGAAATCATGATTTGTAATTTTACAAGAAGTTACATATGTAATGAGTTAAATATAATTTTGCATGCAACTACGTACTTAAGATGTTGCATACAATTTTATGTTAAGACTTTCAGGGATGATATTTTTAAAAATATTAACCAATTAGTAGTACTTCCAAATTTAATTACTAAATGATAATAGTCTCATCTAAAATGACGATTTAATTTTTTTTAACAATAATTATGATATTAATATACATGACCCGCTATACACCACACAACATAGCAACCCAACCCTCCCGCTTACAACTTTCTGGCCACTCCAAAAATATAGTGGACCCATGGCGAAAATAAAAATTGGTCCTGAAAGTCACAAACATAATAAAAATTAAATCGAAAATAGATACATCGTTATAAAATTGACTATTATTATTAAAAAATCACAAATATGGTCACATCATTACAAAACAACTAATTTAAAGAAAAATACTTCTCCTAGTATTTTTTAGATAAGTTAATTT